CTTTCTTATAATTTGGGAAACCCTAATTAATTTTTATATTTAAAATCGGAGGGACAACTGTTTTATTATTATTTTTTAATTTTATTTCATTGGGAATAGGGAATGAATAGAAGAAACGTGACATTTTGTCCACCAATAATATAAATAAATATCTAGATTATATCATGTTAAAAGGAGAGAAAAATGGATAGTTTGGTCCAACAATGTCTGGTGCTTTTTAACTGTTTATGAGAAATTAAGAAACAAGAAAATGTCAATAATTGCAGGCCTAATTTTTGGAGCCTTATGCCAGCCAACTTGCTGTGGTAGGGTAGGACTATACCTTAATGTACCCTTCTTACTTCCTCCTTACCCTACTCATGTTTTGCATCTTGCCATTTTTTTTATTTTTTAATTTCTATATAAGTATTTAATATTTAATATTATTAAGTTAAGTTCGAGTATTCTTAGTCTCCTCACAATATTCCTCTCGATAATAATGTGATTCATGGGCATATCAATATACTAATAATATAAATATGAAATAAAAGTCACTAAAGTTAATGTTCTTATTGGAAAATGGGGAAAGAAGTTTGCAACTTGCCACTTTTTGTTAAACATTTTTTAATAATTGTATAATACTCCTCTGATCCTATTTATAGGACAGAGGGAGAATATTTTTTGTCATATTTATAAGTTATTTTATTAAATTTTCAGCATAAATATACTATTTTGTCCTTTATTTATTATAGTGTAAGTAGTTATCTCTTTTGAAATGTGTATATATTAAATATGAGTAAAGTTAAAAAATTATTATATTTTAATAGAGAATTAATGCATTTTAGTTTTTTTTTGTCTGTGTGAAATATATTAAAAGTATCTTATAAATAGGACAAGAAAAATACTTGGTATTGATGGATTAAATTCAAATTCGCACACAAATCTAAAAATGTTTGGCCTTAAGTTTTGGAATAGCTCTCTTAATATAAATTTTTTGGCATGTCAATATTTTAAAAAAGATATAGAAATGTTATTCAAGAATTATAAGTGTTTTAAAAAAATTATAATATAAAAAAGGACAAATGTGTAATTAGAACAGTCAATAAAGTGAATATTCTAATGTCCTTCCGGTGTATCAAAAAAAAAAGTGAATATTCTACTTGGGAAATTAGAATATAATTTGAAAAAAAGGAAAAGAAAAATAGAAGAAAGGAATAGAGTGGTTTACAGTAAGGATCCACCTAAGCACCACATTGCTGGTTTCCGAATCAAGTTGGACCCCGTTTGTGTCTCCCGTGACTTGCCTTGCTGCTCTGCGAATGCTTATCGTGGGCCCCACTTATCCAAATCTCCTCCCAGCATTTCATTGGTAGGTCACACCATGTGGCCCAATGCTCGCCTCCACCCAAATACTACGGCTACCCCACTTGTACCTCGTCAGTCATCAAGGATAGTAACGTAAAGTGATCATTTTTCATTAACAAAACTTGAGAAATGAGATCCACCGACTTCTACATTTTATTTTAAATAGTGGAAATTTTTATTTTTTTTATTTTGTATAATTTCATTTTTCCCAAAAAATTGCTAAGAGTGAAAAATATATATAAGATTCATTTTTGTCAGACATGCATATTATATAATTTGGCTCTTACTTTTTAAATACATTAAAATAATTTTATATATTTATTTGACGCATGTAAAAAAATCCTCAATTAAAACATTTTTGATTAAGTGAAAATGTGAAATAAAAAAATTTAAATGTTTTTTGCCTAACAGATTTAGATGACAGATATTTTGTATCTCTGTTCGAAGCAATATGATATAAATTAAAAGTTATTTATAAATTACCTATATTAAAAAGATTAACTCTTTTTTTTTAATGCTTTCGTCAAATTTCCTGCTCGCTCAATGGGACAAAAAGGTATCAACTCGGCTTTGTCGGCTTATTGGCTTGGATTAGCCAGTAGCTTGTCAGTAAAAAGAATTTAGCCGGCCCCAAAAAACTATTATTCCTGGGTCAAAAAATAATAATACAAAGACTACTTTTTCTTATGAAAGTGACTCGACTAATTTAATTTTAATGCATGTCTCCAAATTATTAGGTACCTTCTTTTGTGTGATATCAAATAAAATTTAATTAAATAAATATAATATGAAATAAAATATAAAACTATCAGAAAAGCACACTATTTATCAACAATGGATAACACTGTTCTTCTATTTATTCGGACTTTGTGCATTTTTATTTTTTGACTAAAATATATATTTGGTCCTTTAATTTTATATATGGTTTCAATTTGATCTCTTAACTTTAACAAATATATTTTTACTCTATTAACCCTAAATTTTTTTAAGAAAATGATGACATTAAAATATTAAATATTGATGAAATATTCTCAAATGCTAACATATTAAGTTTAATTTTCAAAAAAATCCATAATTGTTACAAAAAAAATCATTAAAGCCTAATAATTTTAAGGTTAAAAGACCAAATATATGCTTTTTAAAGTTAAGGGACCAAATTAAAACCTTATATAAAGTTAAAGGACCAAATGTATACTTTAGCATTTTTTTTTAGATATTTTTTTCACACATTTTTGCTTGGTTTTATTCATTTCTTTAAAAAAAATTAATCTTTTTTTTAACACATTTTCATAAAAATTGAAATGTTATGAAGCTTTCCCTCTGAGTGTACCAATTGTCGTTTTTGCTCTATAAGATGTACAAAACACAACAAAATGTTTCCTTCACAAAAGCAAGGTTCATTTTCTACACTTCTTTTTTTTTTGGGCTAGCATTATCATTTTTGTTACCCTTCAACTAAAAGCAAATATAGAAAAGGAAGCTTCTCCTAAGATTCATTTTTCAAAAAGATGACAAAATCACATCCACGATATTAATTTTTTCTTAGTACATACCAATAATTAACCACCTACCATAAGTGATATATGATATATCTAAACAATGAAATGCATTACTCATACATCTCAAAAAATGTAAAGAAAGAAAAAAACTACTGTGGGGAGTAATCCACATTAATGTTTAGGTTAAGAAGAAACCTCATTAGTGTAACTTTTTATTTTAAAAAATTTAGATCATTTAAATCTAATTTGATTAGCTGTATTCAACCTAGATAAACAAATTTTTAATCATTTGGTTTTTTTTAATAATTTTATCTCAATTGTAATTCAATCATTAAGCTTTAACTCACTCAATATAACTTAATTTCTATAATTTTGATTCACACAATACAACTTAGTATATACATGTAGTTTAGCCATTGAAAATAGTAATTCATAAATCTTGATAAAATAATTTTAGTTCTTATAATATTATTTTTTAAAATGCAATGACCAATATTTTAAATGGTTAAAACTATAAAGATAGAGTCATAAAAAGTTTAAAAATTAAGTATGAATAGAGTCAAAATAAATATTAAGTTGTATTAAGTTAAAGTTCAGAAATTAGGTTACATTACAACTAAATCGAAAATATAGAGATCAAGTAATTAAGAGTCCCAAAAAAATCAACATTTATACAGAATTTACATAAGTCTTCAATCCTATGTGAAAGGAGCATGACAAGCTTGTCATTGCTCAATAATTTACATAAAATTAAGGGATTTATCTTTGCAAAATATGGAAATCACTTATAGTAGCCTAGAAGAGACATATGTTAAGACAAAGATAGAGAATATAAATTCCATGAACTATCTAGTCCCTAATGTCTGCTCCTTACCTAGTTTAAAAAAAAAAAAAAAAGAATTTGGTTTGTTCATGAGATGCCAACAACTTAGCTTTGATCACTTGAGTGGCATGCATTAAAAATGAAAATGACATCCCATTTCAATTATTTTTAATCCATCCTTTCAATCCCTCACAAGTCCAAGTTGGGATTTGTGAGGAAACTTATTCCTGTTTCACCCTTTGTTTCAATGAACAACCCTCAAAATCTGCATCAGCCCTGTCTCCTGCCCTCTCCTCCTTCTTCCTTCTGTGCCATTTACAGTCCCTTGTGACTTCTTCTGTTTTCTTCCCTACACCTTTGTTTTCTTCATTTCAGACACTCAATATTTTGGTTATATACCAACCAAACAGTTCACTTGGTTTTTTTTCCCCTAACTACTCATCAGTTTCTGAAATCTAAATTAAATCATTTAGCTTATTTTAAGTGACTCTATACTGTTGGAAATAAACATGTAAAGGGTTTGGTTAAGTAAAATAAAAAAGCAATCTTTTGAAGAGATGCCATACACCCACTTATCCTATTGAGTTGGTTCAGATCAAAGACTTGAATTCAAAACTTTACACTAAAGGAGAACAAGTGGTAAAACCAATAAAGACCAACAGCTAAATTTTACATTCCATTTTTTAACTCCTAACTTCCTTCAAATTTGATTGAATGACGCCATTTTCCACCATATATCAATCAAGAGGACAATGTCAAATTTGGTCATATTTTACTCTCTACCTTTCTTGAAATACCCACTTTTATCTTATTTTACCTCAGAACTTAACTAAGACCATCACTTCAACTCGTGAAAAATGGATTTTTTTTAAACCCAAACTAGATGCTCTGTTTTCCCAATCGGATTGCCAATCCCTATAAACAGAGCCAAAGTTGTAGTCATCATGTAACCAACCAACTAAAACTCACGTGATTTGCCGTACTGACCCTGTATATTTCAATGTACGAGAAAAATAATTAACCTTTGTCTCACAGTATATGTGGAGCTCCCAAACAAAACATGCTCCCCTTAACACCCAAGAGAAAAAGCATTCACGGACTCTCAAAAAAAATTGCATTAGATTCTTTACAGTTGTTCTTTTGCATACCTTAGCCAAAAACAGCCACCATTAATAGATGTCTCTTTTTCACCCCAAAAATAAAAAAATAAAAATACAGGTCTCTCCAACTACTTCCCATACACACATCACGGGCTGCTAGAAAACAACGTGTTCTTTATTTATATATAAATATGTATCGTGCCAGATTCATATCAAGCATACTCTTTTGAGTTTTGCCTTTAGTTTTTTCATTTCAAGGTCACAATGGCCTACCATGAAAACAGAGCACTCTCTGCTCTGCTCTGTTTTCTCACATTGTTCATTGCTTTGTTGATGAGTTCTTGGCAGGTTTCAGGCCAGGGATCGGCTGTGTTTGCCTGCGACGCCACAAAGGATCCGACGGTGGCCGGATATGGGTTCTGCGACAAGTCGTTGGCGGTGGATGCGAGGGTGGCCGACCTGGTGAAGAGGATGACATTGCAGGAGAAAATAGCGAACTTGGTGAATGCTGCAGGAGGTGTGACCAGACTTGGAGTTCCCAAATATGAGTGGTGGTCTGAGGCTCTTCATGGCGTCTCTTACACAGGTCCCGGAACTAGATTTTCCAATGTAGTTCCAGGAGCTACAAGTTTTCCTATGCCTATTCTCACTGCAGCTTCTTTCAATGCTTCTCTGTTTCAAGCCATTGGAAAGGTCAGATTTCTCTTCTTCTTCATCTTCATCTATGGTTTTTTTTCTGTGTTTGTTTGTTTGTTTGTTTGTGTGCCAAGTTGGCTTCAACTTGGATCCAAACTCGGATTTTTATATCTGAAAATGACTTCAGTATCACTGAGCCAAAGCTCATTGACATTATATCATTTCAGTGTCTGAGTGTGTTTCTTGATTTGATTCAGTTTTGAACTAAACATGATATACCAAGTAGATTTAATTGGTTCTGTAAAAACGGATGATATATTTGACTTTGGGCTTTTATTTCTTTAATAATTGTCTTCTATTTCTAAATAATTTGATTGGGATTTTGATGAGAAGATCAATCCCAAAATCACGTTGGTAAATGAAGTTATGAAACTTAAAAATTACATTCCATTGTGGGTCCAGTTTGGGCAGATTTAATTCAGTTTTAAGTAAGTTCAATAAATTTTCTTAAATTTTTCAACGACACCCTCACTGCTTTGTGTCTTTTCAACTTCTTTTCTGATAGTTTAAGAAAATGGTTTGTCAAACAAAAAGTGTTGAAAGTGGATAATTTAATGCATTAGGTTGGGAGGGTAATGTTGTTTACACTAACATATGACAGAGTTTGGTGAGATTTGAATATTACAGATGATTTTACAGGGTTGATTCATAGGACACATATGAAGTCCTTTGATACAGTTGGTAGTTTCCTTATTTTCTAGTATATTCTTAATGCAGAACATCATTGTCTTGTTCATTTAAAGATCCAGATGCAGGAGAAAATATCTTAAAAGAGAAAAAGGTGGTGGTTTTTAATTAGAATGTATTAATAATTACTAGCATTATGTCAATAAGGGTTATTCATTATTGACATAAAGAAGTAGATGGGGTAGATCAAAACGTGATTGATTTTTCCAATATCTCCACTCTTGAATCTTGATTGCAATTTTCTTCCTTTCTTTTGGTGTTTTTTATGCATGACAGAGGATTAATTAAATGGACCAATTAATTAAGTAATTTAATGTTTAAATAAGGCATGGCGTTTTCAATGAGGTATTCATTATTGATATGGTGAGGTAGATGGGGTAGCTACATGATTGGTTTTCCCACTATCTCTACTCCTTATTGCTTCTTTTTTTTTTTCCAAAAAAAAGAAAGGGTGAAAGCGAATATTGAATGATTTCTTTCCATTCCAAAATTTCTTGACTTTAAAAAATCATGAGGTGGAGAATTTTTAGGAGGATTATTGAATAATCCTTGACCCCACTCTCCAAGTGAAAAAAGTTCCAAAAAGATATCTCATCCAAACTTTTCATCATTTTTCCTCCTCATTTTCCTCAATCCAAATATTCTAAGCAGGTAATAGAAATGTATGATTGCAAAACACAATTTTTTATTTAAAAAAACAGAATAACAATGCAGAAATGGTCTTGCTGGGTATATGCAAGAAAGCAAATACCTCATCTAAAGGTTCCAGCTTTGCATATTGAAAACCAGAAACTAGAAGATTAATCAGTCCTTTAAACATTGCTTGTAGTACTTTTAAGTGGATGATTAACAAATCCCATTACTATTCTACTTTCCTGGCTGATATTTTCCTGCAAAATTACCATCTTTGTCACTAACATTGGCTTTCAGATGGATTTTAATGATGAATTCAGAGGTTTCAGCCTGTAAAACGGTGAAATAATTGAAGACTAATCACTTGCACACATAATGCAAACATTACACTTGAATCGCACATTTCATAATACTTTAGAAAACAGGACGATTAAGAATGCTTCCAAATGATGTTTATGGCTAAATTTTCTTCTGACACACAGGTGGTTTCAACAGAAGCAAGAGCAATGCACAATGTAGGGTTGGCTGGTTTGACATATTGGTCTCCAAACATAAACATATTCAGAGATCCCAGATGGGGAAGAGGTCAAGAAACACCGGGAGAAGACCCTTTACTTAGCAGCAAATATGCATCAGGTTACGTAAAAGGCCTTCAACAGACCGATGATAGCGATTCGAACAAGCTCAAAGTTGCTGCTTGTTGCAAGCACTACACAGCCTATGATCTTGATAACTGGAAAGGAGTTGTGAGATACACCTTCAATGCAGTGGTAATTGCAATCTTAAGTTTGGAAGAAACACTTTAAGAGACAGTTTGAGTGTGCATTTATGGACATGAATGAAGAAAATAATTTGTTTTGGCTCTATGATTTGTTGGTTTTTGTAGGTTTCACAGCAGGATTTGGATGACACATACAACCCACCATTTAAGAGTTGTGTGATTGATGGCAATGTTGCTAGTGTCATGTGCTCTTACAATCAGGTCAACGGAAAGCCAACTTGTGCAGACCCAGACCTCCTAAAGGGAGTCATCAGAGGGAACTGGAAACTAAATGGGTATTTATTAATTCTCCTAAATCATATACACATTTACTTGTTTCCTGATTAATTTAAAGAAACAAGGATAAAAATCAGTTTCTCAGGAAGCACAGTCAGTCTAGTGCTAGCCTGTAAGGCTATAGTCAAGAAGAAAAAATAGTTTCTATCCTTTATTCTACCCTGAAGAAAAAAACTCCAATTTTCTGCATCTCTCATAGAAGAACAACTATATTATGCTGTCTTTTGGAAAAAAATGTTTGCTTTGACTAGATATAAAACCTAATAAGGGAAAAAGAAATGTTTTTCTTTTGTTTCATCATTAACAAAACAAGCTATTAAAGTGCTTTGCATGTATGGGATGTGCAGGTACATAGTTTCTGATTGCGATTCAGTAGATGTGTTTTTCAAAAATCAACATTACACTAAGACCCCTGAAGAAGCTGCGGCCAAGTCAATTCTAGCAGGTAAGTGAACACGAAAGGCTACAATGTTTGGATTTAAAAATAATATGCATATTTGCTTGCTTATGCAAAATTTTGATTGAACAGGGTTGGATCTGAACTGTGGAAAATTTCTGGGCCAATACACAGAAGGCGCTGTAAAGCAAGGTCTTGTGGATGAACCAACCATTGACAAGGCAGTGTCCAACAATTTTGCCACATTGATGAGACTTGGTTTCTTTGATGGTGATCCAAGCAAGCAAACTTATGGAAACCTTGGTCCAAAGGATGTTTGCACCACATGGAACCAGGAACTAGCCCGTGAAGCCGCAAGGCAAGGCATTGTTCTGCTTAAAAACAGCAAAGGATCACTTCCTCTTAATGCAAAAGCCATTAAATCCTTGGCAGTTATTGGACCAAATGCTAATGCTACTAAAACCATGCTTGGAAACTATGAAGGTACTTTTATGTGCATACATTTGTGCTGTGTCTGATACGTGTTGACTTCTTTCTTTTCTCACACAAATGACTTTTTTTTCTTTTTGCAGGTAGCCCTTGCACTGTGATATCGCCTTTTCAAGGTCTAACAGCTCTGGTTCCTACAAGCTATGCTGCTGGTTGTCCGGATGTGAAATGTGCCAGTGCCTTGCTAGATGATGCCAAGAATATTGCAGCTTCTGCAGATGCAACTGTGCTAGTAGTGGGGGCGGATCAGTCCATAGAGGCTGAGAGTCTTGACAGAGTTAGCATTCTTCTTCCAGGACAACAACAACTTTTAGTTACTGAGATTGCTAATGCTGCTAAAGGACCTGTGATTCTTGTCATCATGTCTGGTGGAGGCATGGATGTGTCATTTGCTAAGTCAAATGATAAAATCTCAAGCATCCTTTGGGTTGGTTACCCTGGTCAAGCTGGTGGGGCTGCCATAGCTGATGTCATTTTTGGGTTCCATAATCCTAGTAAGTCATTAATACTCTCTCCAATCCTCATGGTGAAGGACAAGTCTCATGTCTATAAATCTGTTTGGCACAAACACTGTTTTTGAAGTTTCTAGGACCACGTCACCGACTAGCTTTGGAATTCATGGGTGACATTTTTGATGCAGGTGGAAGACTACCTATGACATGGTACCCACAATCCTATGTAGACAAGGTACCAATGACCAACATGAACATGAGGCCAGATCCTGCAACAGGATACCCAGGCAGATCGTACAGATTTTACAAAGGAGAAACTGTGTTTGCATTTGGAGATGGAATAAGCTACTCCAAAGTGGAACACAAACTTGTTAGTGCACCACGATTGGTGTCAGTTCCACTAGCAGAGGACCACGCTTGTCGTTCCTTGCAGTGCCAGTCACTTGATGTTGCTGAAGAACAATGTCAAAACTTGTCCTTTGATGTTCATTTGAGTGTCAAGAACAAAGGAAGAATGAGCAGTAGCCACACAGTTTTCCTGTTCTACAGTCCTCCTTCGGTGCACAACGCGCCTCAGAAGCATTTGGTCAGATTTGAGAAAGTGTTCTTGCCAGGAAAATCAGAATCACTTGTGAAGTTTAAGGTTAATGTCTGTAAGGATTTGAGTGTGATTGATGAACAGGGTAACTGGAAAGTTGCCCTAGGAGAACATATGCTTCATGTGGGACACTTGAAGCATCCTTTAGGTATAAGGATTTGAAATAAGTCTTCAAATCCATAGCCACAAGCTCATCATTTTCCCCTTATTGGTTTCCTTACTACAAGTCATCATTTTTAAAAGGAACCAGAAATAAGTTTGAGGAAATTGTAACAAGTTTGTCTTATTTCTCCAATTTCTCCAATTAAATTAATGGAATCAGAAATCTGAAATTGAAATTATGTTTTTTTTTTTAAATTTATTCATGAATATGGACAATTGAAAAAAAAAAAAGATAAATAGAATCTTCACGTTAGAATACTAAGTTTTGAGCATTTTTATGTCTTATTTATGTTAAATTTTCAATTAGTCGAATGTGATAGCTTATGTTATATCTGGGTGGATTAGGGGTTTATACAATTTCCCATGCGTTATGTTATTAAAACCGAAACATTTCAAAAGGAAATTATTGAGTTTCAAGAAAATTAAGTTTGAAAAACGTAATTTAAGTATTTTTTTCAAAAAAGATTAAATTGCCCTAATATACTCCCTTCTCTCTCTTTTTTTTCCAATCCCAACTTATCTCAATAATATGGTTTATATGCATTCTCTTTTTTTTACCCCCTGAAATCTTCTTTTAAAAGATGATTACTTAGAAGGGCCAAGCCCATTAGAGAGAATATTGGGTTTGGGTAATCACAACGCTGTTATAAACAGCGCTTGTTTGGCCCAGTTCCGAACAAGTCATTAAAATTTAAAATATCTATACAAATACTACCTTTGGTCCTTAATATACGACCTTGTTTGACTTTTATTTTGATCATAAATATAAAATCCCAATTCACTTTATCTCTCATATTTATGTATTTTTTCCAAGGTAGTCATTCTAACAATAACAGTTCTACCAATATATTTAATTAGCAAGGATATTTTAGAAAAAACAACACATATTTATTACAAATAACCAACTTAACTTATTTTCTTAATCTCCTCAAATTAGTCAACAAACTCTTATAATTAGAAATGAAGATAGTATAAAATAGCCATCAGTCAACGATCAGTCATATGCAATTATGCATACACACAGATCCTAAATCGAGAAATTATTTTCTCAGTTCTATTCAAATAAGATATTTAAACCAATGTGAGTTTGGTTTAGTATAAGAACACAATCCCTAACAGTATGACAAATTAATATTCAAATTTTCATTACGAGATGTTCCTACATTTAGGAGGTGTTTAGCTTTCTTGAAAAGTGCTTTTTAAAAGCACTTTTCTGTAATCGAGATAAACTCTTCCACATATTTGCATCGTATATCGTAAAAGCACTTTTAAAATCATGGTTTTGATTCCATCCAAACACCTCCTAATTAGTATTTGACAACAAAAGAGAATAAATGAATTTTGAAGTATTTTTATTGGCTATCAGTGCTCAAAATCACTTAATATGAGTAAGAATAAGCTTTAGCATTAAACAGAATTGTTAGATTGTATTTTTCTTGAATATTAAATAAAAAATCAATATATCAATAACAAGATATAGAAAATCACATCAGGAACCATCTAATCCACATTCACTCCCATAAAAACACACAATTCATTCCATATAGTATAAAATACAAAAAAATTGCAAGAAGTCTCACTAAATGATTTAACTTATTTTGGACTTCATCAAATGTACAATGTATCCCATTATAATTAATATGAATCAATATATAATATGAATAGCATAGAAAATTATATACTACCTCCGATCCTAAATATAAGAGTTAATTGACTAATTTGAGTAGATCGAGAAAACAAGTTAAGTTAGTTATTTGTAATAAATAGGTGTTGTCTTTTCTAAAATATCTTTATTAATCAAGTTTATTAGTTATAATTATTATCATTAGTAGGGGGACTATTTTGAAAAAAATAAATAAATATAAAAGACAAAATAAATTGAAATCTTATATTTAAAATTAAAATAAAAATCAAACGAAGTTTTATATTAAAAACCTGCAGTATTATAAGCAATTTTTATTCATTTTAAATTTTACGCAGTGTGTATAAGATTCCACAGATCGAAGACATGACGCCTCGTATTGAACGGGTCCGCGTGAGCAGTGAGTATGGAGGTGACAACAAATAATCTGCATGCAAAAGGCAGAAGAGTCCAAAAGGGGCGTTAATTAATATTAGTTATATATAATATTTTTATGAATATTTTTAAGAAAACTAGAATTCGTGTATGGAAATCAATAATCTAATGTGTTGGTTGGGAACAAGACATTGACTTGCACTCGTCTCAACAAAGTCGGCCTCCCTAGTCCCTATGTATCATCAACTTGGTATTCTCAATCATTTCATCTTTCAAAACTTACTTAATCAGTTCTTATAATAATAATAATAATAATAATAATAATAATAATAATAATAATAATAATAATAATAATATCACCTATTATGTTTAGATGAAATTTTAGGTTTAAATTTGATATTGATACTTATCTGGTCTTATTTGTAAGACATTTTCGACATATTTCACCAATAAAAATATTAAACTGTATTAATTCTTTATTAAAATATAGTAACTTTCTAACTTTGTCCTTATTTAATATATGCACCTTTCAAGAAAAAATAACTATCGACACTATAATGAATGAAGGATAATATAGTACATTCATAGTAAAAATTTAATAAAGTAACTTATAAATAAAACAAAAAAAAATTATTCTTCCGATCCTTAATATAGGACCCAATTCTTAAGTTGGTTTTGGTCCTAAATATAAGACTCATTTCTCATATTTATCAGTTTTCTCTAAATTACCCCTATGGATACTCCCTCAATTATAATCAAGTAGAAAAGGGAGATGGGGTATTAAGAAAGATGATTATGGTGTTTTAGGAAAAATGTGTCACTCTTCTTATAATTAACTAACTTACCTAATTTCTTTAATCTAATCAAATTAGTTAAATGGATCTTATATTAAAGACTGAAGGAGTATCTTTCTACCCTCTAGATAGGATTAGAGGAGTATGTTTTTATGCATTATAAAAAAAAATAGTCTCTTGTTTTGCCAAAAAGAATACTCTTGCAATAATTATAAACCACTGAATGTCAGGGATTCAATACCAATTGGAACTTCAAGTATTTAATGTATGTCAGTCTCTTTTTATTGTATAAAAACTAGTAATGAAAGTCATTTAGCTTTTCCGGTCAAAAAAAAAAAAGTCATTTAGCTTTGAAACTAAAGTCTTCTAATTTTATGGACTCAAAGGAATTTTAGTAAATGCAAATTTTTTATTAAAAAATGCGTATTGTTATTGATCTAGGCATTATTAATCCCGACATTGCAATAGCATTATTGATCTTTTTATTTCATCAAAGAAGCTGAATTGTCTAAAATATGAATAAATAACATGAAGGACTTCAATTTATTCTTGGAATCTATGTTTGAAATGTACTTTTTTTTTAAAAATCTATTCCACTATTTATAATACACGTTTCACTATAAATTCTGTATAGATTTTTTTTTTTTTGCCAAAAACAATTTGTGCAGATTTTAAAATTAGGTGGCAAAAAAGTACAAATTTTAAAAATTCAAAAAGAATAAACTTAAGCTATTGTAAGATTTAGAATATTAGAAATAACCTTTTCGGCCATACAAATAACTAAAAATCTAACTGAATTAAGTGTCATTTAACTCGATTATTAAATATAAGCCTTCCATATTTCATTTAAATTGAAGATAACGTCCCTCCAATGAACTTGTCATTTCCCCTTCTTTTTTTTCTTTTCTTCTTTTTATGTTCTTCTTCATGTTGTTTTTTTTTTTGGCGTATAATTCAGTGAACTTGGTTTTGTCAAGAAGGAGAAAAAAAAGAACTTTTACGTACATTATATTCCCATGACATCATCTGCCTCTCATGAATACCAAGGGACAATGGAAATAATTATTAATTACCAATACAAGAGAACTAATTTTATTATTTAATTTAACTAGGTACTAATTAATCCAAGAAATTAAGTATGGTACGTGAATAATGATATAAAATGATCAGAATTAAAATAACAATAATAGCAAGCTTTTGGTTAATGCTAAGAGACAGCCTGCCCTTTAGCAAGTGCAAACCCTAATGTAAATTATTATTATATATCCTATGGATTGCTACTTTGAGTATTTTTATTACATTTAATAGATCAAACGTTCAATTTTCCTGCGTCAGCTCTTCGCGTGCAATAAATCGAGTCCCCTCATCTTATCTTGAGAGGTGGTTGGCATATGTCATATGCCTCTTCTGATCTCATTTACAAGACATTTTCAGTATGTTTTTTACAAATCAAGAAAAACTTTAAATTTTATTAATTCTCATTTAAAATTCAATAACTTTCTAATTTTATCTTTATTTAATATATATTATATCTCACGTAAACAAAATCAACACAATAATAAATGAGGAGTAAAATTACACATCCATACACAAAATTTCTTTTAATGCCATATAAATAGGACAAAAAAAATGTCTTCTCTCTCTGCTATATAAATAGGACAGAGGAGTATTTAATTTTTCTAGAAGTTAAATTTATTTTGGAGAAATTATATAAAATTTCTTGAATTATATTTACACTTGCCAGCCATAGATAATTTTTTTTAATTTCTTATAGGCAAGCCTACAATCTTCTCATTAGAGATAAGCTAGATCAAGATACGGCTAAATATTAAATCACAATATATATTTTTTGTGCAGAGATCAATTAAATCCTCGTTGATATGCAGTGGCTAAATTTTTTTTTTTTTTGGCTTACAGCCATTTTTTAAGACTATACCCTTAACCATACCTAAATTTGAGGAAAATATCAAATGAAATAAGGGAAATTAAATTGTTGTATTTTAGTCCATATTTTATATTAATTAAAGATTTCTTAATTTATATGACCTAATCTTAAGTAAAAGTGGAATGGACGCTGGAGCAGGAGGGCGTACAAAGAAATGATTGTAGAACAAATTTTTTTCCCAGAAAATAGTCATCACAAGGGGAAAAAAAACCTAGTCAAACAAGAAACTTAGCAGAATTTAAAGTTTACTAGATTTTTTTAAATAAAAAAAAGTCCAAAGAATCTTTTTGTTTCATATTTTATAGTACTCCTTCGATCCTTAATATAAGATCCATTTAACTAATTTGATTAGATTAAGGAAGTTAGGTAAGTTGGTTAATTATAAGAAAAGTGACACATTTTTCCTAAAACATCATAATCATCTTTTTTAATACCTCATCTCCCTCTTCTATTTGATTATGGTTGAGAGAGTATCCATAGGGGTAGTTTAGAGAAAATTGATAAATATAAAAAATGGGTCTTATATTTAGGACCAAACCTTACTCAACAATTGGGTCCTATATTAAGGACCGGAGGAGTAGTAGTTTATTATGGCATAGGCGTCACACGTCGATCTTTTCAGGGGGCCAATCCAATAATTATTAATTATTACGCAAAACGAATCCCCTTTCGACACGTGCCAGTCACATGCGATTTACCCACACGTTTCTCGGTTTCTGTCCTTCTTCCCCATGGTGGCCCCCACGGCGCATATGACGGCGTGGGGACCACACACGCTCGAGACGCGGCAGCAGGCGCATATATGTGATCAGAGAGAAGAGAGAGAACCGCTTTTGAAGGGTAGGTTAGGTGGATGCGTGGGTGGTAATAAGCGTACCGGTTCGATGCCGTTGTGTCCTTTTTTGTTGACAGCCCAATAAGAAAGAGAAACGTGGAGTTCTCGTTGATCAAGAGGTAGTTGGACGGCGCCACCTGGCAGCACAAGCGTTGTTGTTGGGTTGATTACTACTTACGGTAGATTTTACTTTTACTGTGAAAATTACTCTTATTTTTTTTAAAAAAAATTAATCGAAAAAAGTAGTACAATTTTATTTAGATCTTAAATATAAATTCTTGATTCATTTCATTTCTCATATTTATCTATTTTTTAAGATAATCTTTATAATAATAGTAGTTACAACTAATACACTTAATTAATAAAAATATTATAAGAAAAATAATACTTATTTATTACAAATAACTAATTGAACTAATTTTTTTAATATATTTAAATTAGTCAACTAACTCGTATATTAAAAATCGAAAGTAGTAGAATAACTGAGATGTAAAATCTTTTAGTTGGATTTCTTGTAGAAAATTTTCTTAACAAAAACTTGCTCTATCAATCTTAAAAATAGAACACTTATTTTAAAAAATTCTATAATTGATTGTGTCACTTATGTCTGCTGTTAAAACAAATTTTGTTACAGTTTACATATTAGTACTAAGTGTTTTTGAGAGATTTCTAAACACTTAATAAATTGAAAATTTTCTAAACCCTGTAACACGATTAAATGTTACTCCTCCGATCCTTAATATAAGACCCATTTAACTAATTTGATTAGATTAAGGAAGTTAGATAAGTTAGTTAATTATAAAAAAAGTGACACATTTTTCCTAAAACACCATAATCATCTTTCTTAATATCCCCTCTCCCTCTTCCACTTGATTATGGTTGAGAGAGTATCCATAGGGGTAATTTAGAGAAAACTGATAGATATGAAAAATGGGTCTTATATTTAGAATCAAAACCAACTCAACAATTGGGTCCTATATTAAGGACCGGAGGAGTATTATAAAATGACATCACGCCCGTTGGTAAAATAGCATATCAGTTAAAAGTTAAGGATATCAATTACTTCTCCGGTCTTTAATATAAAACCCATTTAAATAATTTGATTAGATTAAGAAAGTTAGGTAAGTTAGTTAATTATAAAAAATGTGACATATTTGTCCTAAAATACCATAATTATCTTTCTTAATACCCCCTCTCCCTCTTCTACTTGATTATAGTTGAAGGAGTATCCATAGGGGTAATTTAGAGAAAAATGATAAATATGATAAATGAATTTTATATTTAGAACAAAAAACAACTCAATAATTAGGTCCTATTTTAAAGACAGAAGAATATATTTGACGTGACCCCATTTGCGTGTGTGTATATATTTTGCCAACGTTAAGGATATCAATCAACTACTATATTTGATGTTGCCCCATATGCATTTTTTTCCCCCAACGTTACTCCATACGTATTTAATGCAAGCATAAGGTACACTTATTGACACAGATTCATCTGTTCTGTTAATTATCAATCAAGTAATGATAATTAGAAGCAGAATTTGGAATCTGTTGGCAACTTGTTCATCGGCAACACATCTGTCTCGAAAGCAGCATCACATGAAGAATCCAATACATGGATTCTTATTATTATTAGCTGTCTAGTACTATTGTGTTCTGTCGCCAATGACATGAAAATGTACATGTCGGGTGCTCTTTCTAACTACTTCTCCCGTTATTAACGCACCCTTCTGGTTCTATTTATAGTGCGAAAAAAAGATATCTTCTAATTCTATTTATAGGGTATTGAGACAAATTTTTTGTATGGATATGTAATTTCACCTCTTATTTATTATTGTGTTAACTTTATTTACATGAGGTATAATGAATGTTAAATAGGAATAAAGTTGGAAAATTATTAAATTTTAAATGATAGTTAATGAAGTTTAAAGTTTTTCTTGGTTTGTGTAAAACATGCTGAAAGTACCTTATAAATAAGACCAAACTTATATATAAAACTTATTTAATATATTTATCAATTTTTCTTGAAATAATTATATTAATATTCTCTCAGTAATAATTAAGTAAGGAGAGGGAGGGAGAAAATTAAAAAAGATAATTAAGGTGTTTTAGAAAAAGAACATACTACCTCTGGTCCTTAATATAAGAGCTAGTTTGAATTTTAATTTGGTTCTAAATATAAGACCCCAATCTACTTTATCTATAATATTTATTCATTTTTTTCAAAGTAGTCATCGCAATAGTTGCACATATTAAAAGTTTCATTAAATGATAGTTCTAACTAATACATATGATTAATAAGTGTATTTTAAAGAAGAAAAAACTTATTTATTATAAATAAGTAACTCAATAAACTTTTTTAATCTACTCAAATTAATCAACTAACTCTTATATTAAGGATGGAAGTAGTATCACGTTAACTAATTTAACTAATACTATTAATTTATTCAAATTAGTTAATTAAATTTTACATTATCGGATGAGTATTAATTATCTCATAATCCAGGATTTTCCTTTTTCAAGAAAAAAACATTAACTTTTACACAATCTAGAGAGAATGGCGCGACTACATTTACAAGGTTAGCTTCATCAGTTGTTATTTTAATTTTTTTAATGCATTGTGTGGTCGTTACCTACGAAAGATCTAAATTTGTCTTTTAGCAAATCTTAATCTAATTTATATAAATAGTCGAGTTTTGTAATCAATGCCATGAGTTATGACCAAAGAAATTCGTATGGGTGGGGTACGAGAATTTTCAACTGTGAAAATTTATTATGTTTATTTTTTTTTCCGTAAACAAATATTATACTTTTACTTTTTTTTTGAATTTGTGTATATTTATCATTCAAATTTCAAAACTATATTATGAATAATAATCAAACCCTACAACAAGAAAATTTACAATTTTTATATTTATACTCTAAAAATTTCATTTAAAATGTGATAAATATAGTGGCATATTAATTTTTACGAATAAATGTATAAATTTCTTTTTTTTTTCCTTTGGCCCAAAAGGTCTATAATTCTTTTTTTTTTTAAAAATTGATCAAGTGGCTAATATTTGGAGCTGGGTGTCGCAAACGAAGCCGACGTTAATGATTGCGTCACCATGTCTCTATCAGATCGCCTAACCACGCTCCTATTAGTGCTTCCAATCCTCTACGGCAACCTCGACTCTATAAATTTAACCCGCTGATTCTTACACTCAATGATCATTGACTTATATAATTAATCAAATTTGACGGTCATGATTAATGTCTTAATTCGATTACCGCAGGTTATTCTGCTCTCCCACTTTTTGTTCTTTAATGGGGGCGACACGAGCGCGCCACGACAACTCCTGCCTCAGCCACTAAAATCTTTCCGTCATGCCCACTAATGAAAGATGGGCGGACGCAAAAAGACGAATTCACCCTTCCCAGCGTCCACACGTACCGTTCTCATCAAGGGTAATTCTGAGATTTTACAGACATCCTTTTTCTTACAAGGGCCAACCATTGCCCCCGGTGAGCATGTGAAGCTAGCTCGTTCTTACTCTTGTGCCCGTTTTCGGTATCTCACACGATCCATTGATTTTTTTCAGCTTCGCAGGGCATCAATTATATATATATATTTTAAATTAAAAGTAAAAATCGAAAATAAATAAACAGAGCCGCCCCTGGTTCTCATTTTGCTCTGGCCCTTGTTGCGTAATTATATTCTTCTCCTTCCTCCTTCTCCTCCCATCTCTCGTTGCTGCTAGATCCGGTAGGCCTTTTGAGAAATCTAACTATATATATAATTGACACAGCATCTCTTTTGATTTTGCTCTTTCGCCTGATAATTCAGTCTCTAGTTGTGTTTCCGTAAGCTGATTGTTTCATACCCTGAAGTTTTTCATTATATGCTGCGATGTTTTTGCTCTGTTCTTTCCTTTTCGTGTTGTAATTTCACTCACCTTGGTGGTTTCATTTAGTCCTTAGTTCTTCTTTTGCTACTGCTTCCGTTCACTGTGATTGTTGTGATGGTTTTAAAACTTCAGGGGTATGGTTTTGGTTTCGATGTTCTTTCGGCTGTCAGTTGAACTTGGGCTGTTATTTTTTCACCGGAAGTTGTGCTCTTTTTCTTTTGTTGGTATCTAGTCGGGTTATAGATTGTTTTCTTTCCCCCCCCTAAAGGAAGCAGTAGTTTTTGATCTGGTTATTTGGTACCTTCAGTATTATGAGTAAGCAAGCAATGAATTCAATGAATAACATGGATCTGATGTTCCCTCCTTTTAAACATCCACCTAGTATTTTTCATTTTCAAATCAATTATCTTCAATTTTTTTCAAGCTAAGGCTCCGGAAAATTTGCGAATTTTCTCTAATTTGCGTTGATCTGCTGTTCTATTTCTTGCAACTAAATTCTGTGTTGCTTTTTTTTTTTTAATTTTTTTTCAAAAGTTGATTCTGTTTGTATTATTATGAAGGTAGTGACTATTTACTGGCAATTTAGCTTGTTTTTTATTGAGTGTATAGTGATTGAGTATTTGAAAACGATGTAGTATGTTTTGTTGGTTATTCTGTTCTAGTAGGAAGCCGTATTTGCCATTACTGCCTAGTTTGAGGCTTGAATTACTTTATATGCTCAAATTTTATGCAGGAGTAAATCTTCGTTTCTTCAGTAGCCTTTTGATTGGGGTCATAGTTTATGGAGATTTTATGTCTGGACAGAAGAGAATTTAGGAAATAAGAAAGATTTATGAGCTTCTAATACCTTATTCATGTGCAGTTTTTAATCTGTGGGACGGATAATTTATGTGTGGGAGGTATTGACATTCTTCGGTATACTTGCAAAATTGGTTTCAGTAGGAAAATTCCCATTTAATTCGTACACTGAAGGGACTTCATGACTTTGGAGTTCCATATAAATTCAGTGGCCATGGATCCTACTGTTAAATTAAGGCAGGTCAGAGTACTTCTTTCTTATATTTTTATTTTCCCATTTTTATCCTTTTTTTATTGGTTTATTTCGTTTTTCATTTTGGTTCTGTTTCACATCAAAGTAATATTTGCACCATCTTTCTTTGGGGGGGGGGAGAATCTTTAAATTGCTTTTTTTCTGTATTCTGTTTTGAGCAAAATTATCTCATAAGGCAAAATTCTTTTCTTTGACATTTGACAACAATTTCTCCCCACCGAGAAGTTTATTACGAATCCTGGAAAGAAAATCATATTTCTTTTCACCTCTTGTTACTGGAATTCAAGATGTCTTCAATTGGATTTTTATGAATGACATTATACTCTTTGGAAATCTTAATTTGGGTATTCGTTTCTGATTTGTTTCTTCATTTTGATTCTGTTAATGACTCTTCATTAACCAGTATTTCTTATGATTGTTGAACCAATCCTGCAGCATTCTTTTTCTTATGGTGTAGCATCAAAGTATAGTTTAGGGCTTCAAAATTGCTAGCTAAATTGCTATATTACTCTTTACATGTGCAGTCCCCCCCCCCCCAAAAAAAAAAAACCCGGGGGGGGGGGAGATTTAGTTATGATTCCTTTTGCTCATGATGATCGTTAATGATAATTCTCTCTCTGCATAACTCTCATTTGTTCTTTGTCTTCAGTCATAATAATTTAGTATGTCCACTTACAGTCCCGCCGATTGTGTGTGAACTTGCATCTGTTGCAACGTGTCATTCAGTAATCCTTCTCTTCTATTGATGCCTGAGCTCTTGTGACAATGACTTGATTTTTCCTTTTTCTTTGATTTTCATGAACTGATTTCTCTTCCTTGGAACCAAGGTTTATGTGGATGAATGGTTTGAGTTAAAAAATGATGAATCTTCTATCGCTTCAGATTTTAATCAAGTCTTCTGAAAGTACTTCGGTGAAAAAACACAAAAAAAAGGTTTCCTGAAAGTGCGTTGCCTTGTTTCTTTGTCAGGGTTGATGAAGCTCAATGATTTGTCCAAAAGGAGCATTGGAAGCTCCAGCGAACTCTTTACATCACTGTTGAGCACTCTTGCTAAAGGTTTCTTTCCAGGAGACGTTATAAGATACTTTTGTTGGTATTGGCTTCGGTGAAAAATTTGTGCAACCTTCTCCTAGAGTACAGTGAAAATGGACAGATCAGATACGTCAGGTTTTGTAAGTGGGGGAGCTTCTAGATTGGAATTTCTTCCTAGTCATGCATTTCTGATGTGTATGTAGACCTTGGTATCGAAGTAGTATGTGGTGAAGTGTTCTGCTTAGTTCAACCTTTTGTAGTTATAGTGCACAACATCTGGATAATGGATCTTAACAAGACAGCTTTATTGTGTCCTTTTGATGCTGAACTTGGGAAAAATGATAACTTTGGTGATACTGCATTATGTTTGAATGGCCTTACGTTGGGAAAAAACAATACAACCAATTACAGGCACACTGAGAGCAATCTTGGGACGAAGCTTTCCAATGCTTCTGACGATGGTTGCAGATTGGTTCTGGGATTGGGCCCACCACCGAGGGCATATCATGATGACATCTACAATGCGGGGCTTAATAAGAAGAAAGAATTGACCACCCATTTTCCGCAGCATATGCCATCGGAGTGTGATTCAATCTTGCAACTTGGTCTTTCCGGAGGAACTAATGATGCATCTAGTGTGATGGACTACTCATGCTCAACTGAGACTGATGTAAATGTGCCATGTCTTTCGAGCCAGGCATCTGCTGAAAATAATTATTCTATGATACCTGTTGTTGACGAGGGTTCTACCTCAGCAAAGAAATCAGGTGGCTACATGCCATCACTTCTTTTGGCTCCAAGCATGGACAATGCCAAAACTTCAGTGCAGACACAGGAACTGCAAATTCTAGGAACACAAACTCAGTTTTGCCAGGAACCTTCCAATGGCACAGGATACTCCATTGGCACCATATGCAAACCCCAGGCCACAATGATGGCTTCAGACAACCGAATGAGCAATCCGAAAAGATGCAAATTTTTTGGCTGTGCAAAGGGCGCACGAGGTGCTTCAGGCCTTTGTATTGGACATGGGGGTGGTCAGAGATGTCAGAAACCAGGGTGCAACAAGGGTGCTGAGAGCCGCACTGCTTACTGTAAGGCCCACGGTGGAGGGAGGAGATGCCAACATCTTGGGTGCACTAAAAGCGCTGAAGGAAAGACGGATTTTTGCATTGCACATGGTGGTGGCAGACGTTGTGGGTATCCAGGTGGGTGCACTAAGGCTGCAAGAGGTAAATCAGGACTTTGCATCAGGCATGGAGGAGGTAAGAGATGTAAGGTCGAAGGCTGCACCAGGAGTGCTGAAGGGCAGGCTGGCCTGTGCATCTCTCATGGGGGTGGACGCCGTTGCCAGTACCAAGGATGCGCTAAGGGTGCACAAGGGAGCACTATGTTTTGCAAGGCACATGGTGGTGGAAAGCGTTGCACTTTTCAAGGTTGTACCAAAGGTGCTGAAGGGAGCACCCCATTGTGCAAGGCACATGGTGGAGGCAAACGCTGCCTCTTCAATGGTGGCGGTATATGTCCTAAGAGTGTACATGGAGGCACGAACTTTTGTGTCGCTCATGGTGGTGGAAAGAGGTGTGCTGTGCCAGGCTGCACCAAGAGTGCACGAGGCCGTACTGATTGTTGTGTCAGGCATGGCGGTGGGAAACGGTGCAAGTTTGGTGGGTGTGGAAAGAGTGCACAAGGTAGCACAGATTTCTGCAAGGCTCATGGTGGAGGAAAGCGATGCAACTGGGGAGAAGGAAAATGTGAGAAATTTGCAAGGGGTAAGAGTGGTCTCTGTGCAGCTCACAGCAGCATGATGCAAGAGCGTGAAACTGGCAAGGGAAGTCTTATTGCACCGGGACTCTTCCATGGTCTTGTACCTTCTGCTGCCTGCAGCAGTATTGACAACAACAATTCATCTTCAGGGGTGAGTGTTGTGTCTGATTGCTATGATTCCATGGAAAAACCTGCTAAAAGGCAGCATCTTATACCAGAAGAGGTCTTGGTTCCACTCTCAATGAAAACACCATCTTATTTAAGCTTCTTGACTGCCAAGAAGCCAGAGGAAAGTAGAAATGGGCATGTTGCTGCTGTTGGTTGTAGTGGTGTGAAGAAAGGTCTTGATTTTAACGTGCCAGAGGGCAGGGTCCATGGTGGCGACCTCATGTTATACTTTGGAGGGAATCTCAAGAACGCACTTGATGGTGTTTGAAGGGAGTCTAGTGACTCGAAAGATTGTAGGTTCATTATGGGAACCAGGGACATTTCGTGTTTGGATTTGTGTATAGATGTTTGTGTTTGTTCAATAAAACCTCATGTATAGACTTCAGTTTGTTGTCAATGGTTAGGCTTTTATTGTTTGTGGGTTTTCATCGTTGTCATGGATTTCATTCTTCATGGTATGGTGGCAAAGTGGCAATGTTAAAAGGTTCCTAAATCCATTTCGCTGCCTTGAACAGCATAATGTTGTAAATGCCTCAATTTCTGGACTTGCCCCAATTCAAGCTTTTTGGTGTTAGCTTTTAGCTTTTTCCTTTTTTTCTTTTATTTATTTTCTGCCTGAAGAGTTTGGCTTATTGAAAGTTTAAGGTAATTGTAGTTTTTTCCGACTAGGAGTTTGATAAAACATTCTTTCACGTAAATCGAAGTAAAAGTTCTTTATCCAAAAAAAGAAGAAGAAGTAAAAGTTATGGCTCTTTTTTCAGTTTGTACCATAACATTGTTCACCCAAAAAAAAAAAAAGAGACTGTAACAGTCGAATTTGCTTACTCTTTTATTTTAAACATAAGAGCTGGTTAAGGGGGTGTGTTTTAGTCTTTGTTTTTGGGGGTAAATTTATACATTTTTTCTCAAACAATCCCCATTCATTACGTATATAAAATGGTTTTTATTAATGAAACTAATGATTATAGAGGGTGTTTTAGAAAAATTAACACATATTTGTTATAAATAATTAGCTTAATTAAATTTTTAATATCAATAAATTAATGATTTAATTCCTACATTTAGAACTAGAAAGAATAAAAGCCAAGTTCAATTTTTTAAAATGTAAGTTAAATCAATTATAATTGTAAGCAGATATACAAGTATATTTCAGTAAATATATTTTTGTAATAAATTTCACATACAGTCATAATTCCTCTGACTTAATGTAATAGAAGATTAGATAATCTTCATAAGCATTAACAATACCTTATGCAAATATGAAAAAACTTACACTTAAGGATTGAAATCGTAAATGGCCAAAAAAAAAAGAAGAAATCATTAAAATTACAGAAATCTTTTCTTTATTTTGAAAACATATATAAACCTCCCTTGAAATTAATATATATGCTATACAAACCTCTCTTACATATTTAGGATTTCATTTCAATCCATCCAAATGATAGATGACCGTTAAGTTTGACTCTTGAACTTTTGTTTTGACTAAAATACTCTCATTAACATAAGAATCATTTAAGCATTTATATTTGGTTTTATGCCAAACATTTATATATTTTTTAAAAATCCTTTTTTATACAACCAAAAATTATTTTAATAGATCTATTTTCAAAACATCTAATATGTCATAAAATTTATTAATTTTGATTATATTATAAAATTTTATAATTTTAAATTTTCATCACGTCAAGTCAAATATATTTATTAAGGTTTTTTTAAACGGCTAAAAAAATTTTAAATGTATTTTTTTATCATATAATATAAATGATTCAAGTTTGACAGATTATATAAATAATTTAAATTTAATATTTAAAATTTTCAAAATTTTTTTTACAGATATTTATAAACATATTTACTTAATTATAAATTTATTTAAAGAATTAATCAAATTTTTGTAGGTCTACATTAATCAAGTCATTTAAGTTTTTATCCCAAAAACATTAAACAAGCAAGTATTTTTAAAAATAAAAAATAAAATTAAGAAAAAGAAAAAAATTTAAAATATTCTTCAAAATAATTTTAATCAAAATTAGGAATTTAGTATGAAGAAGAGTAAAATGGTAAATGATTCTCTTTCTAACATAAATTTTAATTAAAAAAGTATTTTTGAAATATTTTTAATAGACTTAATTATATGATTTTAACATAGAGAAAAATTGTTATAATTAAGTCAAAATATAAAGGATGTTAGAATATTTTATGCTTAAATTTAATATTTTTCAGATTAATTGAATTCTGACATATAACTTCCACGTCATGGCCAAAAAAAAAAAACCAAAAATCATCAGCTATAGAAAGGAAGGCAATCGGAAAGTCGCCAGGCTAAGGAGAAACTGCCGTACATCGGCAGTCTCTGGCAGCAAAGGGTAGAAGCAATAGAGAACGAAGCTGGCATTTTCATTGTGCGAGACGAAGAAACAAACAGCCACATGAACCTGGAAGACGAACAAGCGGATATTAAATGACAAATACCACTTTTGGCGCCAGGTTTCAACTTGACGATTGAGAGGCTTCTCTGTTACGGAAGATCAATGTAGAGTAAACACTTATCTCACTTAACTACTTCCTAAGAGTATAAATATAAGCTCAGGTCTCTGTGTCCACGAAGGATTCAGATACTGAAGAAAAGGACGGGATTTTTCTTCCGCGCATCTCCGACTATCCGATTTCGTGCGGGTAAATTCTTTGTTCGCTTTCCCTGCTTATTCTGATTTTCCTTTTTTACTTCGATTTCTGCTGAGATTTGACCGTATTGCGTTGCATTGATGAATTCCTAGAGCGAAATCGGTGGTTGAAACTGATATATCCGCGGACTAAGATTTTTTCTTTTTTCTGTCAAAAGTTCGATCGGTCAAGATGTTTCAATTTGATAGCTTCTGATTCTTTGTCTGGAATCCGCGATTAGTCAATGGAGAAATCTCGCGGTAATTGCAAGATCAAGATTCCGAAGGCGAAGGCTTCGAATGAGAATATTTCACCGATGAAATTAGAGATGGAGGATCCGATGTTTATTGGAAGTAGACGCTTTCATCAATCGATGGCATTGAGTCCAACCTTTCAATCGTACGCTGAAAATCTTGACATTAACTCTCCGCTTGCGCGTTACTTACTCGCCGGATCTCCGATATCCGGTGGGGTCTCGCCTTCTGGTGAGTCTTTCACCTCTCCGACGATTGGCTCCCGCAAGAACAGGTCTGCATTACTGCAGCAATATAACAGTAGCAGTTCAGGGAGTAGTAGCTGTGGCTCTCGAAATAGGTTGCCGGTTTCGCCCCTGTCTTCAATTGAGAATTTGGAGATGATGCCATTGATTTCGTCACCTGTGTACGGAACACCGGTAAAGGCAGAAGAAGAAGTTCTTGTGATGGACGACATCCAGGTGAAGCTAACATCGTCTGGAGGGAAGAGGCTCTTGACGGACGTCACGAAGAAGGTTGGTTCGCGCCATAAGCTAATCTAACAAGGCCTCAGGTTTTTCCTTATAGTTTACTATTTTTTAACTATTTGCTACTCCTTCGGGGTGTTTATTTATTGGCATGCCTCGTGTAAGAAACTTCAAAGAACGAAATTTTTTTCTCGTGGCTTAAATTACTGAATTTAAAAACTGAAATATTAGAGGGAAATGAATTAAAATAATGCTGAATTATGGATTGGAGAACCGGCAAAATAAAGCTGCCCTGTGTCACCCAAAAAAAAAAAGGCCGCCCTAGTTAACATTTGATGTTTTTGTTCAAAATGGGTCCTGAGGGAGTCATTTGAAAGTAATTTAGACTCGGTTATCATGTGATAATAGATATAAAATGGTCTAGATTACGTGAACGTTCAGGTTAATTTGGAAGATAGTTAACTTGGAAAGTTAAACATTGAGTAAAAGAATATGAAATATACCTTTTTAGTCATACCGTCTGACTGTGATTATGATCAGAAGCATACTTTTTCTCAAGTATATAATCATTTTAGGAGCTGTCGAGCTTGGGTAATGCCTGTTGGCATGCGATACAGCCTGAAAATTTGTGGCATATTGTTTAAATTCTGGAGTACAAAAGTTGGGCAGAAAGAAATTTTTATCCCAAAAAGAGACGAGTTAAATTCATCCGTCCAAGTGTTAGTGCTGAATTGCGTTTTATTTAAATCTTCTTCCGAATTTTTTTTTTGCCAGCTTCTTCCGAATTTGTAATACTGATAGAAGAATCATTCAAGTTGCCTATCTTTCTTAGTCAACGAGATTTTCCTCTTTGACCTTTTTTATCTTTTATTTATATTTTGTATTGTCTTTTGCTTTTTCGCTCAGGGGTGACCATTATGATGCTAGACTCTTTTATGGTGGCTTTTCATTGTTTTTCGGGTTTAATTCACATGATGTATTTGAAAGATCTTGAAAGTTAAAAGTGATCGGCAAGGATTAAACTGTTGATGGGAAAATAAATAATGAGATGATTCGGAAGGATTCAATTAATGTTTTAGTAATTTATTATTATGACTTGATTCTCTTTCCTATTACGCTTTCGTAGATTATTTCCTATTTTATGCCTTCTTTTACTTGAAGTTTAAGTTAGGTTTATAATTGTATTTAGGCCTCTATAAATAGCCCTGAGATTATTTTGATGATAAACTGTTTGATGAGCTGAATAATATTAAGAACTTTACAGTCATTCTCTCCCTTCCATTCTTTCCCTGTCCTTCATCCACTGTGTTAGGCGATAGAATTTGATAGCTTGGCATACAGTTGTTTACTTTGCCGGATTGACATAATGCAGTTTGCAAACGGAAAAGAGCAGCGTCCTGTTCGTCTTTCCAGCGCTCACAAATCTGAGGTATACAAATATTTGTCTTGTAACATAATAAACGGTGAATCAGGTAATTGAACATTTTACCAGCTGAGTGTGCCTTTGTGGTTCACTTCATGGTTAACTGTTCTGTAACGGGGTTCAAATGCTGGTGGCTAAAAAGGAAAGCTAATGAATGTTTCTTATTCTGTGTAGGCACATGCGAGCAAGTCATCTTCTGGTACAGGATCAAGCGCATGTGGTCCAAGAAGCCGCACTTTTCGTCACTTCCAGGGTGCAGCTGTATCTGAAGAAGCGGTTAAAACATCCAAACCAGCTTCGCCTGTTAAACCTGAACCTGACCGTGCCTTAGCCAATTCTCACACCAATGACTGGTCACCCCTGGATGATAACATTGTGCTTGTTGTTCCACACGCTTCACCTAATAATTCTCCCTCAAGGGAACATGTTGATGCTTATATTTCCAGCGTTCTCTACGGCCCCTCCACTAAAAACAGGCTACCAGCTTTTGCTGAACTTTGTTCGGAGAAGCTATCTCCATGATTGAAAGCCCTATATTTGCTGTCAGAAGGTAATATTGCACATTCTCATATCCTATCCTCTGAAATCCTTAGTTTCTTTTGCTGCTGAAAAACTCTACCATTTCAAACATGTTGGTTGTACCTGTGCATACTTTAGTATCCTGATTTCTGAGAAATCATTATTCCCCTAGCTTTCACGAACGAGGTCATTCATATGCCGTGTAAATAGCTGTTTCATTAGGTGCACCGAAAAGCTATCTCTAGCACTATGAGCTTCATCTTATATCTCATTCGTTGTTGAAAATTACAATGAATAAGTGGACTTCTATACGCTATTAGATTGAATATTACCTCCATTCGTTTTTTGGAAAGAAGCAAGAACCCTGTTTCTTTGGTGCTACATCCACATTCTTCGAGCCCCCAAAAGCCTTATCATTATGAGATATATATTCTTTAAAAATAATACATATTTGTGGTTCAAAGGGCTCAGTGCGAACAAAACAAGTGCTCTTGGATAATCTTATACTCATTCCGTCTCTTTTTATAAGCAACATTGGAGCTCATCACGTAGATAAAAAATTAGTTAAAATTAGTTAAAGACAATAAATGTATAGAAATTAGAAGTTCTTTCACTAAAATACCCTTATTTATAGGGAGAGAGAAGTACAAGAGAGAAAATAAAAAAATTATTATAATAAGAGAATTATGAAAAAGAGAGAATGTGTATTGGAGAGATGATGGTTTGAAAATGAGATAATAAATATATTGAGTATTAAAATAAATAATTAGTGAGGATAAAATAGAAAATTTGTTACAAAATTTAAAATAACTATATATGTTGCTTATATTTAAGGACAACGAGGAAATAATAATTGTTGCTTATAAAATGGGATAGAAGGAGTATCGTTGCCCGCATGCTCAAATTAACGCAAAAATCTTCTCTTGTCCCATTGAGGACGCCGTATATATTTTTTCCCCTTGATCTTCAACCCAACTAGTTTGATTACAATTCGAAATCGCTACGTGTAGGTCAGAGTGAGGGAGAAATTACAAAAAAATGTATGCCAAGGGTTGATGATCGCCACGAGATGAAAATAATTTTCATGATCTCCGCGAAATGAAAGCTATTTTAGTTTCAATTATGGAATTATGGGAATATCCTTTGCTAGCCTATCTCCATATTTTGTGCAACTATACAAGGCAACGAATTTTCTACCTCAAGAAGTCAATTAGATAACGATGCATTCAACCTTTTTATTTGCGCGCTTACGATTACATCGAGTACTCAAAAATCTATCTATATAACATGCGAACATAACATCTTTTGTTATAAAAAAAGAATTTTGAACATAACATATGAAACATTTAAAATCTTTTGACTGCGACGCAACATGCCTTGACGCCAACAATAAAAAAAGATCATCTGCAATATCTGACGGGTTTCCTTAAGCGCCTAACTCTTGGAAAGCAGAACCTCATTCACTAACTTGTCCATATTCAAGGACGAAGACCCACCAGCTTGTGTAGCTTCTTGAGCCATTTTCTTCCACTTTCTAGCTTGATCCCTCAGCTTCACACCCTTTTCACCTTCCATCAATTCCCTCACAAGCCTTTCCACTTCATCTCTCTTCAACTCCTCGCTCTCCATCTCCATCCCACAACCCCACTCCCTGCTTACAAACCTGCGATGCAACATTTGATCATTGAAAAAAGGACAGCATATCATAGGCACACCATTGCTTATGCTCTCAATTGTTGAGTTCCAACCACAGTGAGTCAGAAATCCTCCTATTGCTGGGTGCTTCAGAACTTCCTCTTGTGGACACCAACCCAGAATCAGACTCCTCTCTTTGATTTCCTCTGTGATTTCTTGTGGCAGAATGGCTTTACCATTAGCTACCAAATCACCCCTTATCACCCATATGAAACTCTGCTTGCTGTTTGCTAGGCCCCATGCTAATTCAATGACTTGTTCAGGTCTCATGACTATGACACTACCAAAGTTCACGTACAGAACTGAACTGGGTTGCTTTGAATCAAGCCATTTCAGACAATCTGACTCTTCTTTCCACAGATTGCATTTGATGGACTCACAGTTGTTTTCTGATGAGTTTGGTGTTTGGTTGTGAAGGAGCAAGTCAAGTGGGCCAATTGTGTAAAGTTGTGGGTACATTGAAGAAAGAGCGTTCAAGACTTGAGGTTCCAAGGCATCAAAAGTGGGAAGCATGAGAGCAGAAGCTTTTGAGGCTGCCTCAATCTGTTGTGGAACAAAGTCCAGAAGAAAATCATTTGGATCTGTGGTCCTATATATCCCAGGAAGGTCCCTTAGTTTTACATCCTTCATCCCAGGTATCCAATCTATCTTGGTGTCTAGATACCCATTTGTCAGATAGCTTGCATCTGGAAAAAAGATCAGGTTTTTTTAAGACGGAAGGTGAAATCACTCAACAACTTTATGATAATCTGAAGGGAAAGGAAATGAGAAAGCTTTCTCCCGTAAAGATTCATAAAAAAGCTCTTCTTTCCAAGCCACTGTCATTCAAAAGGCCGAGTAAAAATATTTTTTCCTACCTTTTCCCTTTCCTCAATCCATTTTTTATGTATCAAATTCACCATTCAATGTACATCTAGCTACTTCAACTCAAATTTCTGAGGTACCACTCAATAGTGTTATTATCAACTCCTGAGGGATTACATTATAAATCTTAAAGAAAGATCAGATCAAAACAAAAACAGCTAGCTTACCTTTAAGTGGTATTATACCCTTTTCCTTGAGATTCTTGCATTCTCTGAAGCTCATGAAGGCACAAGCACTGTGAGTCCAAAAAGCGACATTAGGGATCCCAAAATGTTGAGAAGCTCTAATGGTGAAGGACATGATTCCATCAGAGACTATGCAAGAAACTGGAGGAACATCATCGTCATGAAGCATCTTTTCAACAAGGTGGAAGAAAGGACCGAGACAGTGCTTGTCGGTGGATTCACAGAGAGCAGGGATATTCTGTGTTGCGTCCATGGTAGTGAGAGGCAGACCATCAGGGATTGTTTCAAAGCAGAAATCTGTGAAGCCATTGAAAGCATCAGAGCCTTTGGACTTGAGCAAGCGCTTGTGGTTGAACTCAGTGTTCACAAAGGTAATGTGAAAGCCTCTTGCGTGAAGGATTTTTGCCAGTTTCAGAAATGGGTTGATGTGACCTTGTGTTGGAAATGGAATCACAAGAGCATGAGGTTTCCGGGTTTTGGAAGATCCTCCTTCCATGTCTCTTGATGATGAACCTGCTTGGCTGTGTCTCTCCTTATAATGGCCACAAATCTATTGTCTTCATTTTTTTTTTCGCCTAAAATAATTGAAATTTTGTACTCGCCCCATCTTTTCATTAGTTTATGAATTTTCCTTGTGACCAAAGATAATCCGGGAAACAAAACACGTCTATTATGATAAGCCATGTTCGTTTTTGAGAAAACTGGGGAAAAAAGGTACCCTATTAAAAATCTGGCCTGAAAGACACGTATGAGGAAATATCCTTTATTATGGCATGTAATAAATACTCCTGATATACAATATAAGTCATTTGTATAAAATTTTTTTATTTCACAATATAAGTCATTTGAAGAGTAATTAATGTTTAAATGTAAATCTTTGTATTTTTCTCTCCCCTTTATAATCTTATTTAGTATGGATAAAAGTGAAAAAAAATTCAATTTGAAATAAATTTAATGAGTTAAATACTTTTTATTAGTTTTGATAAATTAGTTAAAATGACTTATATTTTAAATCATGATTCTGTTGGGGGCACCTATATTACCCTTCCCAAAACTTAGTCCAGGTCATAGGTAAGTTAAAAGTTTAATAAATCATATACTAGAGTAGCTTCTTGACTTTACATGAAAGATGAAAGTCTACACCTTTATTAAATGCCTGTATAGATGTAGCTTGATTTTTACTTGCATAAAAATATTTTTGCAATTGTAGCTAATTAACTAACAGATGTCATGGTTCAAATTAGAGTCGAAATAATAAGTTGGGTCTGTTTGTTGGCTAGCTCGTTGGACTCCAAGAATTGCTAAGATTGAGTTTTGGATATGGACTTTCAAATATATGTGCAAGAGAATAAAAAATTCACAGGCTCAATACTAATAAGTGTTTAGCTTATCTTATTTTAATTGATTTTATATTATACAAAATAAATTTGTTAAATAATTTTCATCTCATAAAATATAAAAATATTCAGTGTGTGTTTGGTGCTGCAGTCCAACAAGTAAAAATAATTTATAAATGGAAAAAATTAGTTTGCATATTGAAGGAGACGTTTGGTTGAGCTTTTGGCCCATCCTCCTTTTGGATTAAGCAGGTGAAGAGGTGCTTATGAGTTATGGCTCATGTATTCTTGTGCTTAGTCTAGTCTCCGGTCCTGAAGGCATTTATTGCAAATTGAATACCAAATTTGCCCTCTTTTTCTTCTCCCTCATAAGCTGATTTTTTTTATTTTCAAAATTTTTAATAATAAAATGTTCTAAAAAAATTATCATATTATAAATAACTTTATGTTCTCTTAAATAAAAATAATTTTTAACATAGTTGTAATTTTTAATATTATTTTTATTTTATATTTACATAAATTGTGCAGGATATATCTGATTATGATATATTATTTGTTTTAAAAATTTCACATAGCTATATTTTTTAAATATATTTGATGCATTAAATTTAGCTTCTTCTTATTAAAATAGTTTAAAATTATTATATTTTGTAAATTTATATTTTTTATTATTTAATAAAAATTACACTCATTTTGGTCATTTTACAAATGAAACTTACTTATTCAATTATAATCCAAATAATTTTTATTTTGACAAATTAATTTTTATAAAAGTCAATCCAAACATAAATTATAGGGTTGATACAATGATTAGTCCTTACACTTTTCATTCATTTTGGTTTTGGTCCCTGAAGTTTGGAACCTCCAGTTTTGGTCCTTTAAGTTTGCTCCGTTTAAAACTTTAGTCCTTATATTTTTAAAAGGACTTGGTCTCACCTTTACCACTGTTAAATATGTTGACATGTCCCTAACTCTGTTAAATATGCTCATATGGAACCAAGTGGACGAGCTGAGGTGGCTTATAAAAGATTAAAAAAAATTTGACAATTAAAAAAATGGTAGAAAAAGGAACAGGCGGTAAAATGTAATACCCAAGTCGAAGGCCAAAACCATTCTTTGCAATCGAAAAAAGAAAAGGAGAGGGTTAGGTCAAAAGCGGTCCCACTTGGTAGTCGCTGGAGTTGAGCTGGCTATCGCTGGAGGTGGGGAACTGACCGATCAAGGTGCGATGACAGTGAAGGAGGAATCGCATTTGACAGCAAAAAAAAAAAGTAAGCTCATCTCAGACAATCACCGCGCTATCACAAAGGAAACTGTTATATTCTTGAACTGACCGAAGGTCAATGTTGTCATCGAAGGTCGCTTTCGTCGTCGACATTGAGAGCTAAGGCAAAGCAAAGCGAGGTGGGGCGCATGTGAAGTCTGAGAAGAGGACAGAGTAGAGAAGACCAAAGATCAGTTCTCGAATACGTATTCAAGATCAGTTCTCGAATATGTATTCAAGAAGACCAGTTCTCAAATACGTATTCGAGAAGACCATTTTTCTAATATATATTCAAGAATATAGTTGAAAATAAGCTTTGAGTTAGAATGCGCGGTGATTGTCTGAGATGAGCTTACTTTTTTTTTTGCTGTCCAATGCGATTCCTCCTTCACTGTCATCGCACCTTGATCGGTCAGTTCCCCACCTCTGGCGACGGCCAGCTCAACTCCAGCGACTACCAAGTGGGACCGCTTTTGACCTAACCCTCTCCTTTTCTTTTTCCGATTGCAAAGAATGGTTTTGGCCTTCGACTTGGGTATTACATTTTACCGCCTGTTCCTTTCTCTACCATTTTTTTAATTGTCAAATTTTTTTTAATCTTTTATAAGCCACCTCAGCTCGTCCACTTGGTTCCATATGAGCATATTTAACAGAGTTAGGGACATGTCAACATATTTAACAGTGTTAAAGGTGACACCAAGTCCTTTTAAAAATATAAGGACTAAAGTTTTAAACGGAGCAAACTTAAAGGACCAAAACTGGAGGTTCCAAACTTCAGGGACCAAAACCAAAATGAATGAAAAGTGTAAGGACTAATCATTGTATTAACCCTAAATTATACTACCTCTGGGCCTTAATATAAGACATTGTTTGAATTTTATTTTGATACTAAATATAAGACCCCAATCTATTTTGTCTCTCATATTTATGTATTTTTTTTCTAAGGTAGTCTTTTTAATAATAGTAGTTCTAGCCAATACACTTGATTAATAAAGATATTTTAAGAAAGACAACATCTATTTATGACAAATAACTGATTTAATTTATTTCTTTAATCTCTTCAAATTAGTCAACTAGTTCTTATAATTAAGATAGGAGGTAGTATTACCTAATCTAAATTATTTAAAAGTCAAATTGAACCTAAGTTATTTTTTCTACTAGGAATCCATATGGCCCCTTGATTTAGGAGTAGTCACCGCAACATCCAGGACCGGCTTTTTCAACGGATAATTTTTGCATGATTTGTAAGCCTAGAGCTTAATTATTATGTACCGGGGAAAAACTCAAAAAAGAGCTTAACTATAATCCAATAGACCAATGGCAATGATCATCATTTTACCCGCCTTTTTGGCGTTCCCCACTCCCCCGGCACGAGACAGACAGACAGACAGTATCACAGAATACTGTATAGTCTCCACTCTACAGTCTCTTATCCCGATTGGGAAAGAGAAGGATATGGAGGGAGACCGAAGCTTGGGCGCCACCCAATGTGATGACCACTCACGACTCTACGAAGCTTACAATGAGCTTCATGGGTTGGCTCAGGAGTTCGAGACACCGTTCGACGCGCCGGCAGTGCTGGTGGTGGGTCACCAGACCGACGGCAAAAGCGCCCTTGTCGAAGCCCTCATGGGCTTTCAGTTCAACCATGTTGGCGGCGGCACCAAGACCAGGCGACCCATTACACTTCACATGAAGTACGACCCTGATTGTGAGTCCCCTCTGTGTTATCTTGTCTCAGATGCTGACCCTATTCTGGCCGAAGAGAAGTCTCTTATGGAAATTCAGGTCTTTTTAATATCTGCTTTTTTTTACTTCGATACTTCGAAGCTTTCGCCTTCCCTTTGCCTGTAGTTGTCTGCATTGTAAAATTGCAGAACTTGGCAAGGAAAAACCGTCCCCCACAACTGGTGTTTTGAATTTTCCCACAGGCTAAATAAGTCCAGCCCTTTCTTCTTTTTTTTTTTTTTAAAAAAAACCTTCTTTCATGAATTTTTCGTGAACTATCATATGACTCTATATTAGAAGGTTACTGTGGGAAATAGTGTTCTGGATACAATACTGACTGTAGAGAATTTAACATCCGTAACTAATCTTAGGTGTGTGATAACCTGCAAGTGCATGCATATTCATACAAAGAATAAAAGATATAATGTAAATAAGATAAAGAAGTTGGTAAAATTCAGATAGGGTTGAGCGTTGCTATATGAACTGAAAATATGATTGAGCTTTATTTTCCTTTAAAGAGCGTTTTGTGTTTTTCCATCACTGAGGCTAAGGAATGGAGGTTCGTCCACGGCATTTGGCCTCTTTGCCTCATGGCTCCTGCCTGGTTCATGTGAGATCCATGTTTTGGGGTTGGAACCCCACTGTAATGAACTGCAAAACGGAATGAAGGAAAAAATTGAGCGTCCTATGGCTAAAAAAATGTTACAGCTCGTGAACCACTCAAGCTTATTATAGTTCATTGTTTGACTTATTGGGGTCGGAGATCACAAGTTAATTATGTTTATAAGAAGCCCAACAGCCCATTCTACTAACATAAACTGTGTTGTTTTCCTTGAAAAGCCACCTGGCTGATTAAGTTTGGCTTCATGAAGAGTTTGTGACCTATGTAGATAAATGTGAGGAACTAGGGACCCTTTGCAAGTCTTTGATTATCTATGTTTGTCCATACATTTGTTTGCAATATTTTGTAGATGTTAAGTTATTCTTGTATGGCTGTTCTTATAGGCGTATATTGAAGCTGAAAATGTGAGGTTGGAGCACGAGTCTTGTCAATTTTCAGCTAAGGAAATAATTATTAAAGTGGAATATAAATATTGCCCGAATCTTACAATCATAGATACTCCAGGACTTATTGCTCCTGCTCCAGGTCGAAAGAATAGAGCATTACAGGTTAATTTTAATTCTTTTTAAACATATGCATTAGATTTCTTGTGGACAATGTTCTTATTGGTAACGGTGGATTTCATAACATTCATTGCAGGCTCAAGCTCGTGCAGTGGAGTCCTTAGTGCGGGCAAAAATGCAGCATAAGGAATTTATTATATTGTGTCTTGAGGATTGTAGTGATTGGAGCAATGCTACTACACGGCGTGTAGTAATGCAGGCATGTGCCCTCTTCATGTTCCATACTTGTTGTCTTGTAAAGTACCCCTAAGGCCCTAATATCTTTGCTTGCAGAGTGCATGGTGTTTTCAGTAGAAATCAATCAATATAAAATATGAAACATATAGCAAGCTGCATTAGTCCATGTAATGCGTGGGCACTTCTTTTGTATAAATACAGAGTTCCAAGGCTCCAAAAGTAAGTTCCCGTTTTGGTTTATTTATAGATTGATCCAGAGTTGTCAAGGACTGTAATTGTCTCAACCAAGCTAGATACTAGGATCCCTCAATTTGCACGTCCATCAGATGTTGAGGTTTTCCTTTCACCACCTGCATGTGCCCTTGATGGCTGCATTCTGGGTGATTCTCCCTTTTTCACATCTGTGCCTTCTGGAAGAGTTGGTTCTGGAAGTGATTCAGTATACAGGTCCCATGATGAGTTCAAACAGGTTCATTCCTTTCGGCAATTCATTATTTTCATTTGCTCTTTTGTCTCATATTGAAAATGTCGTATTAGTTGGCTCCTCAGAACTTACTTGATGCTATAAATTTATATTGCCTATGCTTTTGTAATCTTTGGATTTTTTTTCCTTTTCTTTTGTTGATCAGGCTTGGAATAAAGCAGTTGCTTATTTGAAAGCTTCCATCCTGTTATTATAAAATGCCAGACAAGACTATAGAGAGAGTCTATGTTGAAATTATGGCTGATTTAAAACACGGTCCATTTTGAGTTAGTTAGTATAAGTGAAAAATGTTTCATTAATGTCCTCTGGGAACTCAACCCGCATAATAGCATAAATATGAGCTGTTGTGCTTATGAATGTAGGCGGTATGCTTGAGAGAAGTCGAAGATGTTACATCTTTGGAGGAGAAGTTAGGCAGGCCATTGTCGCAGCAAGAAAGAAGTAGGATAGGTGTAAGCAAACTTAGGTCATTCCTGGAAGAAATGCTCCAAAAGAGGTATGCATTAGACTTGATTTTTATTTTGTTAATGGGTCTAGAAATTTTTATGATCTGTGCCTAAATGATAAAGAATGTGCTTGCAAGGTATATGGATAATGTACCATTGATCATTCCTCTTCTTGAGAAAGAGCACCAGAGTGTAACAAGGAGATTGAAAGATATTAATCAAGAACTGAGGTTTGTGTGAAACTAGAAATATTTTTTGTTATATGATCTGCAATGGGCAGGGACGATACTGGTCATTTTACGTTTAGCTTTTGCTGTGTTCGGTGCTCATGCTTCTATCATCACTAGTCACTTGATCTTTTCTTCCAATGTTATACAGTTCCATGGATGAAGCCAAATTAAAGGAGAAGGGAAGAGCCTTTCATGATCTGTTTTTGACCAAGGTATTCATCTAACGGGCTCTTGAATCCTGCTTTGTTAAAGTTTCATCTTTGGAGTACAAGAACTCTTATTCTACTTGATATTGTTAATTTACTGAATTTCTCACATCTAAAGATTAGCTTTTCCCTTCAACATTTTATACAGACTGCTATAGGCATGCTTGTTCATTTTTCTGTAGCTATTGGAATTCATAGTGCTTGAATATTGAAAATAAACGTCCTCTGGGATTTATTTCTACCTGACTTTATAACTTTCTATTATTCAGTTGTCATTGTTGCTTAAAGGGACAGTTGTTGCGCCTCCTGATAAGTTTGGTAAATTATCTCAGCACTGCTCTATAAATAAGTCTATAAAAAAATTGGTGGATATTAATTAATAATATTGATGTCTAGAAACGAAAGCTTATCTTTTTTGGATATAGCCTTCTGCTTGATAAAGAAACCATGTATTTTCTTTTTGGTTCTGCTTCAGGTGAAACACTACAGGATGAACGAACAAATGGAGGAGTATTTGTTGGTACTGATGGGGTGCAGTTCCCTTGCAAGCTAATACCCGTAAGTTACAACACTTTCGGTTTGTTTCTTCTTCTGCTGACTTCCTGATTTATATTTTTAGAGGAAGCAGATCACTCATTTATTTTATCGCCTTCTTTCTTTATAGACAATATTACTATTTTTTGTCCCTTTGGCTGATGTTCTGCTTACTTATGGATGCCTTTTCATAATGAGCTTCATTTGATGTGATATTTGTGTTTTGGACACGAGATATTCTTGTGAAGCAAACATCTGATGAACTGAGTTAACACTGTATGTAGAACGCAGGGATGCATCTCTATGGTGGTGCACAATATCATCGGGCAATGGCTGAATTTCGCTTTGTGGTTGGAGGAACCAAGTGTCCCCCAATTACACGGGAAGAAATTGTAAATGCCTGTGGAGTTGAAGATATCCATGATGGAACAAATTCTTAGGTATTTGGTTGTCCTCTGTGTTTTCTTTCTTGTAATACAGGTACTGAAGTTTACTTTTAACTTTGATCCTGAATAGGACTGCTTGTGTAATCGCTGTTGCAAAGGCTCGTGACACAATTTGAACCCTTTCTTCATCAGGTAACTAGTATATGAGAGTGAAGTTACTCCTAGTCATCTTTTCATTATATCTGAGTACACTTTGGTACTTTTACTGCAATTCTTGGGTCAGTCTCCATCTAAGGCAAAGTAGCTACGTCTTACTAGTTCTTTAACCATTATTTCATGGATGATATCTATCTAGTGCACCTATCTATGAGCTATCAAGTGCATTTGCAAGCATGCTAATGTGTACCAACAAAAGGTTTTTTTTGGGCACAGTTGGGTTCGAGACTGCTGCATATACTTAAGAGATTGCTCCCCATTCTCTGTATCTTCTTCAGGTATTTTGTTTTCTATATTTCCTCCTTGTCAAAAATTTCTTAGATTCATCAAAATATCTAGCTGACCCCTTTCCAATTTATGTTTTTGTTTTCTGACAGAAAGACGGCGAGTATCTTAGTGGTCATGAGTGTTCCCTTAGACGTGTTGCTTCTGCCTTCAATAACTTTGCAGAATCTACTGAGAAATCATGCCGTCAAAAGTTAGCTCCTTCTCCCATTTTGACCAGCTCCAACGTTTTTTTTCCTTTTCAACCCACGCTGTTTATGTATTTAAAGTATTGCACCAACATGG